GACTTCGGTCCCTCCACGGTGGAGGCTCCACCACAGAAAAGTTCTGTTAATTTGGCTGGATCTTGAGCTGACTTTTTCTTTTTCCCCTCTTAGCTGAATGTTTAACTGTTTCACAGGCTGTGCCTGCGGGGGTGGTGCAGCTGTGGCCACGGCTTTGCGGCTATGGCTGACGCGGCCGCACCGCCCCCGCGACTTTGGATCAGATAAACAACAAATATCAGCGCATCTCCCGTGAGCTTGCGCAATTTATTGGTGCGTTTAAAGATGTCTCGAAAAACTAAGTTACCCCATGTTAAAACTAGATTAAAAAAATAACAGCTGAAATAAAGAGGGTACAGACAYGGAAAGTGCGGGGGGACATGTCCCACCATGTTACACCCATGGAAAGTGGGGGGCATAAGGAGGGGCATGGCCATTTTCAGGAGGGTCTTGAGAACCCCATGCACCCCAGGCACTTCAGTCATTATCCAGCCCCTGCAGAATGAAAACATCTACCACCTTTATGAAACAGAACAACTCCCAAAAGGGAAAAACGGAGTAAGATTGGGCATCCAAGGGCTTTGCCAGAGATACTGCATATCTAAGGTGAAAGAAAAAAAAACGTGACTGTTTTATATATAATTAAAAATAGACTGTTAGGAATCACTGATCATTCCCACAAACAAATACTTTCAAATCCACTTAAAGATAATGAAATAAAAAGTGAAGAAAAAATAACCCAGATTATAGACTAAAAATTTCATGTTCACCATCTGGCTTTGACAAAATAATCATAACAAAAAAAAAAAAAAAACGGATATAAAAAAATCATTCTTACATTAACTCCAACATCTATGCATCTGACAGACAAAACATAAAACACTAAATGTATCTGTTTCACCAAGTAGCAGAGAATTGTGAAATTATACAACAAATAAACAATGTTTGCCAAACTTCTGCTGCTTGAACAAAGAGTTTCAACAAATAACAGTCAAACATTGCATTTTCTTTGCAAAGCAACATGTTTGCTGCTCTTATCACTTCCTACACAATGAATGCATTTGTTGTAGTTACAGCTATTCCGATTGCAAAACAATAAGATTATGTGGATCTGTTGAGCTTACCACAACTAGCTTCTGCTTGCAGGCAGAGTTTCATGAGATGGTTAGGAAATATCTGACTCTTGCCTGCACAAAAAATAAAATGCATGTGTGAACTCTACCTAAAGAGAAAAATGGAACTGTACTCTCCCAGAATGGATGCTGCTCTAAATTTATACAGAAACAGTCTTTTTGCATAGTTGAGATCATGTCTGACAATCAGTCCATTTTGGACATAACCGCTTTCATACTTGGGACAGAAGTGTGTGTGTGCATGTGTGTTGTTGGAACACAAAAATTACAGTGTCAGCTAGTGGCCTGGCATGGAAAATACAGTGGCTTCAAAGGACAGAAATACTGCGTAAACATGTAGCTTTTCTACAACTGAAAAAACACAAATGTTTCACAGGTAAGTCATGTATAAACTGGGTCTAAATATGTTGAGAAATGAAGACRCTGAAATAGGGCTGTGCGGTATATGTGGTACACGATAGAAACGGTATGAAGTTGGCCTACGGTAGAAATTTATACTCTACCGTCCTATCGCCATTACGTCATCGCACCTGTGTGAACAGGGCTGCGAGTGCAGAGACAACTGAGCAGGAGTTCGAAATATAATGAAGAAATTCTTGCGTTTTAAAACACGTATAGAGAGAATAAATCCTCAAAATTTCCTCCTCCTGCTATAGAAAAGTCACATCATGTTGCGGGATCATTTCCTCCCTCCCTCCCTCCTGCAGCACGTCGCAGAAAGCGAAGCTTTAACAACCGTAGTTTCTCACACCCAATTGTCGGAGAAAAAAATGTTTTATGTATTGTTACCCACAGAGATGATTAAAAAGAYGTGGACGTTCGTTCAGTCATAAATCCATCTTGCTAATGTAAAGTCGGCTTCTGCTCTGATGATGATGAAGATGAGCGTGCAGCAGAGCAGCAGCTGATAAGTTCAGCAGACAGAAGCTCATTGTTTAGCAGGCAGATATTAAAGCAAAAATGTTGTGTTTAATTAAGATTACAGTTTTCTACAAAAAAAATTACATTCTTAACTTTTTATGATAATTTTCTACCGCGATATATACAGTTACCGTGAAGGGGTTCAACTTATACCGTGAGATAAATTTGAGGTCATACCGCCGAGCCCTACGCTGAAGTCGTTTTGATAAAACCTTGAAAACAATGTTGTTTCTCATGCACATAAACATTTTACTCWGTCAGCTACTACCACATCAAAATTTAGCTCCATATCTGTAAAAGTGACTGAGTTATAGMCATGTTTGTGTTTTCTAAGGTCTGCTGGTTGTGGTGGCCATCTTGAATTGGGCTGGCTCAAAAGKTTAATCAGTCATGCATGTACAACCCTGTTTGTCTTTTAGCAAAATAGCTAACAGACAACAAAATAGCTATTTTGTAGGGGWGCAACGTTTGCAGTTTTCTGGCCKATCACCCATCTTTACAAAGCCTGATGTGACAATTCCAATTTTGGCTGATACCAATTTTTTAAATAACGGAGCCTGTCAGATGTTATAAGGCCACAATACACCTTCAATAATCTAATCTTATTTTATTGAAAAACATTGAACAATACCCTTGAAACAATGTAAACTTGTTTTAACAGGACATTAGGTAGAGCTCAGAGCACAGCAAAAGGGAACATTGGCATCTCAACTATTTTGCTAACAGACAAACAGGGTTGACTCCAATTTTTTAAAGTTCTACCTCTTGTTATCTTGTTCATAGTTTGTGCTCAATTTAAATGTTGGACAATGCTTTCAGCAAATACCTCCCTCTAGTTTTGGTCAATCTGGAAAGACGGCAGACGTTTAGGCACTTTTATGTTTTTTTAGGGTCAGTTGGCTGTGGCAGACATCTTTAAAGTGTATCTTACCCCCCACCCTGTGAAAAGATAACTCCGCCCCAAGGCGAAATTTGAAAAATGCATCAAGGTGGGTAGGAGAGGGGGTGTGGGTAGGGGAGGGGGGGTTAGAGAGCGGAGGTGTGGCCAGGACGAGAGAACGTG